CACAGCCACGGGGACAGACACTTTCTGGGTGATGCTGTAACCAGGTTGGCTCTCCTGGATGTGAGAGGTGGTCCATGCAAAAGCTACTGCCACCTGCTTCCTTCCCACCTCACTGCAAAGAATGGGGACAGCAAGTCCCAGGTTGTAGGGCACAGTCTTCCCCCTCCTGTCTCACCTTCTCTCACCACTTTCCTGGGGAGATTTCTGCCTCCTGTCTGTGACGGGGAGATGGAGGCAGCAGTACAGCTCTAGCAGATTCCAATGGCAGTCTCAGTGCCTGGGGGCAGGCTGCTTCTCTCTGTGGGGACACTGGTTTTCTCTGAAAACTCTTAGGATGGGGCAAGCAAACACAGATCTGGAAACTGGGGGACCAGGATAAACAACCCTCCAGTGTATATTCAGGCACTGATAATGCAAACCACAGACCAACAGAGAATGGGGACGAATCTGATATCAGGAAACCATGCAAGCACTCATGTCTTAATGCTTCTTTTCTTTAGGTCTCCTATGTCATGGCTTAGACTCACTGAAGTTCTTTTTGATGTTGAAAGACTAATCCCATGGCCAGCTTGGCCAAGCAGTACCATCTGCCCATACGCTAGCACCAACCTTCATATAACAAAACAAATAACAGCCCAGAGATGGTTTGATCTGCAGAGAAACTGAAGTCTTACAGAGCACATCTTGGAGAGCTGTGAGCAGTCTGGGTTTCAGTAATAGCCCAATAATGATTGAAAGCTGTTCCAAACTGTGAGGATTGCCTGGCTATCCCAGTCCTCTCATGGGAATGGTCCCTGAGAAAACGAAGGAGCTAAAGGCGAATTCAGGAACTGCTTCAGAAAATGCCTGCATGCTGCAAATGAGCTTCAGGTCACTCTCCAAAGAACTGACTGCAAGCCAGAATAAAAGAGAGTGTGACCTGGAGGATGCCCTCATATTGTTTATGCCATTTAGCAGCCTTAAACTTGGTTGAAATTCTCCAAACACCACTGTTTGTGCAAGGTTGTTTCTCCTAAGCTCCTCGCCATCCACAGCACCTTTGGAATGGCAAGGGCAATGCTCCGTACTGTGTCGGCTCAAAGCCCTAGATAGCTATCAAGACTTTGCCCCTTTGCCCTTAGAAGTACCCAGGCCCTTGGGTGCACCCTTCTTCACTGTGTGAAATCCATTCTTCAGGCAGTCTGTGCTCAGCTCCCAGCACCACCACTGAAATTCCCTGGAGTCAGCAGAAAGCAGTGATTTATAGCAACTGATGCGTCCATCTGGGGGTAGGGAGCGGAGAGACGGATCTCCCAAAGGAAGCTTCATTTGCCAATGTCTCTTTCCTGTACTTCCTAACAGGGGCTCAGTGGGGGATGACCAACTGTGGAGAAATTTTGGTGATGTCCCAGAGCAAGAATGATGATTATTTGCTGGGCTTCCACCCACCACGGAGAATTCTGGCTCGTGACATCACCCCATTGTTCCTGCCGGTGCCAAGAACACACTGGGATCCCGTCTTCTCAATGGTTAAAGCACTTTCCTGTTTGCTCGTTCCTTGTTTCCAAACAACACATTTCATGAATGCTGCACGGGACGTCTCTTTTCTTGAGCTGTTTTGTCCCTTTCGTCATGTCTGCCTGGAACTCTTCACAATGAAGTGAACAATGTATTCCTACAGTCAGAAACAAAAGGGAAAAAATAACTGCAGGAGGCAAAGCCCATCTTTGGCATTTAGGACCCTGTGTTTCCCTTTGTTCCTTCTTTGGAAGCTGTGTTTGTGTAGCATGGACCCGTCCCTCCGCTCCAGGCTGTTGTTTTAATTTGTGATTTTAGTGTGGTGACAACGCCAGGAGGGCTGGCCCTGGGAAGCAGTGGCCACTACTCTGTATCAGGGGAGCAGAGGCATTGTAGGAGCAGTGCAGCCTATGTCTAGGTCAAGGAGAGCCATCACTCCCAGCCTGAGCTTAACACCCCCCCCCCAGCCCATAGCACAAGGGGAGATTGATCATTCAGCCTAAAATGAGTAGCTACTCTTGAAAGCACCAGTTAGATACCAGAACAACACTCTGTGGGGGTGGGTGATGCTGGGGCCTCTCTCCGGGCATTCTTCTTTACAAGCCTAAAGGCAGATTACTTTTGAAGAAGTCATTGTATTTTTCACACAGAAATTCTATAGCTCTGGACAAAGCTCTCAGAGCAGGATCATTTCAAAGCAGTCCTGGTCAATGCGATCCCAACCTCACCTCATCTCTGCGGGGTTCCTACATCCCAACAAACAGAGACTTTCATCCATAGCTCCACATCCTTTAAGATCTTTGAAAGGTTGGTGCCAAACATCCATACATGTGCTGGTCAGGTTTGTGCCTGCTTAACACAGTTGGGTGTTTCCTGGAGAAAAAAATTAGTTCTAGCTCCATTCAGTAGGAAGACACGAATGAGAGGGTGCAACATTCGTTCCACTTTCTACAATGGTGTAAATCTCTTGGGATTTATGAGAAATTAAGAAGGGAGAGATCCCGGATGAAAGGTCTAGATTGTAAAGGTGTTTTTGCACCTGGCATTAAAGGCAAATACCTGGGCATTGTCTTCTTCTAGGCACTCAGTAAGAGATCTTCACAGACAGGTACGTGTAGCTTCAGGCATCTCTTGGAAATGTAAGCTAAGAGCAAAGCTATGGCCACAAAAGGAGTGGGGTAAAGGAAATAGCTTGAACCCAAATCTCCAAAACCTCAAGTTAACTTGAGACTCTTCTTCCTTCCTGGAGGCATGAAGTCTGTGTGTGACAGAAGTCTCTGTGTGACAAAGTTCTCTGCTGATCCTTTCAGCAAATGAATCCTGGAAAGCCATATTAATGTGACTTCTGTCTCATACTTCATGCACTGGTAGCACCTTTGCTATGAAAACACCCCTTCTTTAAGCAAAATTATGTCATTTGTTCCCCATTATTTATTTCCTCTGGGTGGGTAACTATGGCTGCGTTACCTTCCCCACGTCGAGGGTATCTTCTTTCACCCTGCACTGACCAGAACGAGGATCACAGAAACTGGAGACAAGAGAGATTTATTATATCATTGAACTGGCATCTGGAATGTCACATAGTATGCGAGCTCTGACATAACTCTGAAACTTGGCACAGCTGGAATATGGGCTGAAACAGGTAATGCTGCTATTGTATTTCCCTATTTTCTTTAGAGTGTCTGTTGCACTGGTACAGAGGTTAAAAACTTCCCTCTGCTGGCTTGCCTATCGCACTGAAGCTTCGTTTTATCAGTTATAGCTGTACTTTATTATTTTAAAATAAAGTTGTCACTGTTCCTGACTTTCTCTTCCCAACATGTCCTCTCCTTGCTATTTTAGCTCCATTCCCATATGTACATTTTTCATCTGCCCTGACCTCTTGTGCCCCCACACTTCATCCTTACTCAGTCAATGGAGCCCTTGACAGTATCTGTGTTCTCATGTGCCATCACCATCTGAGCTGTCTGCGAACAGAGCAACAATTTCCCCTCAGCATATTTTCTTATCCCACTGTGAGGTTTCCCCTGCACGTATCTTCTGCATGCGTTTCACATGAATACAGAGAGGGATTCACACTGCTGCTAGGTCTGAGTGCATGTTAAACTCTCTCATCATTTCTTGCAGGAGTGCATCCTCAACCCAGTTTCCTTCCATGAGACGCTGTGAGCAGAAGCCATTGCTCAGGTGAAAACAGTTTTCCACACTCTGGCTCTTATTTCTCTTTCCATTCCTCATGCACGTGTTACACTTTGCATGAAGCCTCACACTGACTGACTGTAATTGCCATCATTTTGCCTCTGTTCATGACAACAGTGCAATAAAACCCTAAACTGCTTATGGTAAACAAATAAAAATACACTCCTTTTTTCTAAGAAGCCTTTAAATCCATCATAAGAAAATCAAGTGCAATAGTTTATTGTTGGCTTTTCTATGCTTGCTCTTCTAACCTGCTTGCACTTGGAGGTGTACTCTGCTCCCAGGATTGGTGAAGTCAAGAGCTGCCTTTCTGAGCTTCGGTGGACATGGGGTGCCTGGAAGCTGTCATCCCCCCAGCGTTTCTCCACGGGACAGTTTCCTGCTTCTGCATGATACACACATGATGGGCAAGATGAAGATGCTTTTGACTACATCCTTGTGCCTGCTGGGAGATGACATCGGTGTTTTATATGATTCGTATCCTAAAAATGTCCTGATAATGTTGAGAACGCCATCATTAACGCTGAAGCAAAATCAGAGAGCAGCCAGAGAGTTTTACTGCAAGAGATTTTAATTGCTAGACCTAGCAAAAGGCTTTAAATGGATTTAATGGAAAAAGAGGGAGAGAGGAAGCAGAGACTTCCATTTAACAGATGCAACCTCTTGAGCTGAGTAACAATTTCACGTGAAACTTAACTGGACTTGTATTCTGCCTGGTTTACCCAGGTTAAACCAGCCCAATTGCAGAGGCTAGCCCACTGCACTGCCTGGTTCAACTCGCCGCTTTTTGCCATGCCTGGAGCAAGGAAACGGAGGGGGGGTCCCGTGAGGACCATCGGCGGCCAGCGGGCTCCCACAGCGGGACACGCTTCCTCTACCCCCCCGCTCCATCTGCCGGCGGCGGCTACAAACTACCCCTTGCCTTCACCTGCCTCCGGCGGGCTCCGAACCCCCCAAACAGCGCACACAGTGCCGCCCGCTCCACGCTGTACCCACTGTCCATCGCACCCCCCAAAGGGCAGCATTCCTCCTCACGCCGCTTCTCTCTGCCCCATAGGAGACCCACGCGTCATTCGCGAAGGCTGCGGGGCGTTCGTGCCCACGGGAACTGAGCCACCTCCCCATGATGGGGACAGGTCTACCCACAGGGAGGACAGGTTACCCACGGGGAGGACAGGTCTACCATAGGGAGGACAGGTCTACCCGAGCCCGGGCGCCTGCACCCCCCACGCGAGCCCGCGGTCGCTCCACGCTGCGGGGCGGAGCGGGGCCGTGACGCGGCTGCGGCCGCGCTATAAAGCACCTGCCCGGCGCCTGCGGCTCCAGACGCATCGCGGCGGCTCCGGTAAAGCACCGTGAGGAGAAACAGCGGGAGAGCAGGGCTAGGGAGTGGGGAAAAGAAAGAAGAAAACCCGAGGAAAACGTCTCCAAAACTTCCAGCTCCTTCCAGCGCAGCCCCACACCGGTGAGACCCGCGCCATGCCCAGCCACCCCGCCGGCGCCCTGCTGTTGGTGCTCGCCCTCTGCGCCCTCCTGGAAGACGGTGAGCCCCGGGCTCGGGTGGGGCTTGGTGCCCGGGGGGTGCCTGCCCTATTGGGGTCACCCCTCCGCTCTCTTCGGCTCGGGGAGCGGGGTTGCGAGTGTGCCGGAGGGTGCCTGGGGTCTGCCCCGAGGCTGGCGGAGGGGCGAGGGGCATTGCCCGGCACTTCTGCTCCGGGATAGCCCCGGTAGCCGCCGGGGTTGTGTAAGTGCTGTAGGAGCCTAATGGGTGAAGGCTGCACCTCCTGTAAAACCGCCTGCACGTTGAAATCGCCGTAAGCCTTACGGGAGGTGTAATTGCAGAGATGACAGACGGACGGGCACTCCAGCGCTCTGCACCGAGCCCGCAACTCATCCTTTCCTCCTCCTGCTGCAGGTATGGGCCACCCTCCGCTGGAGTCCCCCCTGGCTTCGCACCCGAGGACCAAGCGATGTTCCTGCAATAGCTGGCTGGATAAGGAATGCATCTACTTCTGTCACCTGGATATCATCTGGGTCAACACACCTGGGTGAGCAGGGACATAGCTTGTTTTTGGGTTGGGGGACGACACAACTCCTGATAAGCGACTGTGCTTTCTGTTGGAGGATGGGGTTAGGTTAGAGCAATGTGGGAAAGGGTCCTGGTTCTGGGAGGCTCTTGTAGCACCTGCTTTGGAGAGCACTGAAAGTCCAGTCCTTCCTAAAATCCAGGTAGGGACAAGCTGTGTTTCTGCTCAGGAGTTTCAGTACAACTCACAGGGCAGTGGAGCCAAAGCCCAGGGTGCTGCTTCCTCCGGGGCTCATCTTTATCTGACTTTTTGTGTACCTCTGCAAGCTGAAAACAGCTCTGAGGTGTTAGAGCTGCAAGTCAGAAAGTTTTTCTACCCACTTGCGCGCTGTAACCCTGGCTGCTGACTGCCAGCATTGTTAATGAGACGGTGGTGGGCTGGCACTAGCATCCTGTGGCTGCCAAGTACTGCCCTCAGGAATGCTAAAGCAGCTTTCCGAGCTGTTTCAGACCAATGGCCATCACACTGTAGCAAAACACATGTACTCAGGTGTGGTTATAATCATGCTTACTAACGTGCAATTACAACTAGCTGCTTGCTCGGAGAATTGTTGCAGACACTGCCAATCCTAAACCCTCTGGGAGAGTAGATCACTATCAGAGATGGAGCTGGGGAATGTGCTAACAGCTCTGAAAGCATGCTGTGATCAGAAGAACCTGTTACAGCCCCAAGACATCTTCCTTTGTACCATGTCCTGGGTGTTAAAACCCACGGAGGCAGGGAGGGAAAGCACTGATAGTTTCAGTGCTGAAGGAACTGGCTGCTTGCCGCTGGTGGACTGGGGCAGCGCTTTGCCACACTGCCAGCTCACCCAGCACTTGTGATGACCCTTGCAATGGGCGGTGGGCCACGGCAAGGGGAGAGAATTCCACTTGCAACCCAGCACATACTGGTAATCTCCCTGGGAGGGGTAGGGTGGAGAAAACAGTAGGTGGGAGAGGAGCTGGAGTTTAAAGGCTTAGATCTATCAGTGGCCTTTTCACCTTATGTCTATAGATGAGTCTTTTATTATCCTGGCACTAGCTTGGCTGCCTCCCAGGGCTGTGCTATAAACCTGTGGCTAATAAAGAGGTTAGCTGCATAGCTGATGCCTTCTGTTTTTAACAGGCACACCGCTCCCTATGGCTTGGGGAGCCCTCCGAAGCGGCGCAAGAGAGCGCTCGGCAGGTGCGAGTGCTCGCACTCGAGGGACAGCATCTGCGCTGCCTTCTGCCAGGCGAAGCCTGGGTAAGCCAGGGGGGTGCTGGGGGTGTCTCTGGGGGCTGCTTGGTGGGGGGGGTGGGTGTGCAAGCAGACAGAGCTTAGGAGCTGGAGGAGCTCTAAGGCCTCCCAGGGGATGGCTGTGCAGCTCTTAGCAAACAGCTGGAACTTGTCTAGTGGCTTTCATACCCCTCCCAAGAGGCCCTGGCAAAGTGTCGCTAGGGTGTTCCTGTTGTACAACAGTCTCTTTACTAGGTGATGTGAAGCAATGCTGCCTCCATCCGCTGTCAGGAGGCTGAGGAAGTGTGGGGTGTGCAGGGGGGAGCTCCTGCATGGCTTAGGTGGGAGAAGCTGCAGGAGAGGAGGACTGATGTGAGCTGGGAATTGGAAGTCAACTATCATCCATAGCCAGCTCTCTTCTTAGCTCACATGGACTTTGTTGTCTTGTTTCAGCCAGCAGCATAGAGGAGTGCTTACACTGTAGGGAGGTGGGGAGCAAAGTCATTGTAGAGACCTGTCACTGATTTCATAGCAAGGCAATAGCTGAACTCCCCAATCATTACATACGACTCTGAATAGAGTGAGGTCTGACAGGATGGCAGTAACAGTGAGCTATGAATAGCTCTTAAAAAGCTGCAATTAACCCTTCAAAAACATTCATTCAGCTGTCTTAGTCTGTCACACTCCCCCTGGCACATGGATCCCCTAGCATGGCTGGATGTGAGTGGCTCATGCATCTCCTCTTGCTCATTAGGTACCTTCAGAGTCTGAAGCTCCCAGTGAGCTCTGGAGCATCAATGAAGTCTCTGCAGAGCAGTGGTGTGAGGCCTTCCCATCATGGCCTGCTGAGAGCTCTCAGGTAAGCATGCCACTTAACCCCACTTTGAACAGCCCTCATGAGCGCCTCAAGATCTGCTTTTGAGACCCCAGACTGTGGGTACTGCTTGGATTTGACCTGACTTCACCTTCTTGTCTCCCTTTAAATGAATAGATGACTGGTTTTGCTCTCTAGAATAACAGCTGAGGGAACCAGGGTTGGTTGTGTCCTTCCAAAACTAGAGGAATATCACATAAAATGTGATTCTTGATTGGAGTTGGAAGCTCCTCTGAAATGGAATGGGTGACATACAAGAAGGGGAGGGGCAGCAATCAGGAATTGGTTGGGCAGCAACTTCAGACCAGAAGCTTTCCTCACATCAGTGAGCTGTGGAAGGTACATGAGAGTTGACACGAAGGACACGTTGTTCTGTTGGTGGCAGTTAAATCAGATGCGATGGGAACACTTTCTGAAAGGCAGAACTGAGGAAGCATCACTGGGGTCACACCCTGCTGCAGGGCTCCTTGGATCCTCTGTCACCATTGGAAAGGGAATACTGGGGTTGATGGATCTCAGCTGTGGTTTAATACAGCTGCAGCTAGAAATCATCCCTCCTCCTTCCCCATCTTCTGCCTCAGAATTTGTCTTGGCAAGGGGTGTATGAATGTCATACTGCAGGATGTTGCTGTGTAGTAGAGGAAGGGACTGGAGAATGACCATTGTGCCTCTTTTCTGTTTCCAGGGATCTTGCCATCTCCAGCCTGCAGTTCAGCAAGCATCAGCAGCGTTCCCGGAGGAGCGCACAGCCAACAGTTTTGCCTTGGAAGAAAAACATCTGGAAGAAGAAGAGATAAGAAACAGGTGCATGCCAAGTTCACCAGAAGAATATGGGAGTCCTGTGGGTGCCGCTAACTCCGCTGTCGGTAGTTAGAGCTGAAGGAAAGGCCATGAGTGGAAGGGGGAAGAAGTGGAAGTCTCCATGCTCCTGTTGCGTGAACCAGTACTGAATGCACTCCAGAGACTGTTGTAAAGGGAAAACTCTCTCTATACAGTCATAGATGTGTCGTGGAGCTGAATTGTGCCTTTTTGGATCAGGCAAGGGTCCTGCTGGAGGAGTACTAGCTTAACTCTGCACCGGAGTCTTAGGCAGAGGGTCAGCCCGTGCTGGGCAGTTGAATCACATAGAAACCAGGCGGTTCCGTGCACTTCTGGACCTGGCAGCACTGAGCCCATATCTCTGTCCTGCTCTGCTCTGCCTTTGAGCCATGTCCAGGCATGGTCCCAGCTTGGCCCCAGTCAGAGGTGGTTTGGCTGGTCATTGTAGATGGAGATAAGCTACCTCCAGTGCGAGCCCACCTTTGCACTTTCTTCTCTTACTTGCCAGGCAGTCCGATGTGCATGTGAATGAGACTCCCATGGTAAATCAGCTCCCAGTTTTAATTAAAACAAGTGTACCATCTAGAAGCCTGAAAGCCAACTGAGCAGTCAGTGGCGTTCCTTGGCTGAGGAATTCGCTGAAGGTCCGTCCTTAAGTGGCTCCTCTTTAGGTGGAGGATAGCTTGCTTACACTGGAGCTTGCATCAAATCCAAGCGTGACCCCTGCCACCCAGCACAGCAGCAGCAGGGGAGAGGCTGAAGCAGAGCTGCATTTCTGCAGGATCCCCATGCATGTAATCTGGGGGAGGGAGCCCCACTGGGTCTGAGCAGGTCTGGATGAGTTCCCTGTCTCATCGCCTTGGACATACCCTTAGCGGGGTAAAGTCCAGCTTTTAACCCAACATCCCAGCTTTCTCTCAGCTCTGCCTGGAAGGAAAGGCTAGGGGCAGAGAAGATGGGTGGGTGGGGGAAATAGCACACAAAGGCTTGCTTGCTTCTTTGCTTAGATCAGGTCTTGGAGTCAGACTCTATGTAATTAATGACCAGTGTATGGGTAGCATGTCACTATGAGAAGCGTAACCTAAACAGAATGCATTAGGCAAGAGGCAGCCAGGTGGGATTGATGTGGAGAAAAGGACTGGGAAGAGAGCACAGCACTGTCTGCACAGCTTTAGAAGAAAGGTTGGGATTTAAGCCCACGCCAGAGTTACAGCTGCTTCCCAGGCCATGGAGCAGCATTGAGCTGCGGGCCCAAAGGGAAGTAATAATTTGGAATAAGCACTAAGCCCAGGACCTAGGAGCTGATCTTATAGGCAAACCCATCTCAAGGCTCTGGAGCTGTGCCGTGAATGCACTTTTGTTTGCCTGGGCAGATTAGCTTGTGTTATAAATTGTGGCTGCAGATCCAGCTAGTGCAGGGAAATAATTGCTCTCCTGGAACTACTGTTGGGTCCCCCTTGCTGCCCAATCCAGTATTACACGAGCCGTTTAAAAGGCTGCTTAAAGTTGGTGGCTGGACCGAAATACGTGGCTGTTGCAAGTATAGTCCCATTGGACATACAAAATACACCTTTGATTTTTGCTTTAAGCCCTAGAGGAGGTAAAAATGAGACCAACTGATTGTATTGTAAACGACAGAGCAGACATCATTTGGTCCCCAAAGCTGCAGAGCATCTTTTCTATATTTGACCTTCTGCAGGTTTGAGTCATTCTACAAAAAGAATAATCCTTACAGGGTTTGTTCCAAAGGAAACTTTGCACATGGTTTAATGTGAGCCTAGTAATTTAAAATGAAACTACTGCTGTAAAGTACTATGTATATCTCCTTGTGTGTGTAACATCTCATCTTTAGGTGACTGATTGCACACATGCCGTATGTAGCATCCTGAAATCTGTGTATTTATTTAAATCTATTGATTTTTTTTTCAGACAGTAATTTGCAAAATATAATTTGTAATAAATAATGACAAAAGCCAATTCCATATTTCTTCCTTATTTGATGGCTGGGTGGTGATGGATGAAGTGAAAGAAATCCAGGAGCCCAAAAGGACTGTGAAAGTGATTGAGACAGCACAGCTGGGTGAGAGGGGGAAGGCTGTGTAGTCTTGTGAATAGTCCTGAGCAAGCTTGCCTTAAGTCACAGAAGAACCTTGGTGAGCTCTTGGTCTCAGAGGACAAAACGTCCCTGTTTGGGCAGCTTGAGACCCAGATGGTTGGATAGGAGACAGCACAAGGGGAGCATCACATTTGCTGTAGGTAGGACCACAGGAAATGCTCCCCAGCCCTGCTATAGCATGTGGGCTTGAAGGAAGACATCTAAACAGGGAGAAAACTTAAACTAATCAATTTTTGGATGGATTGGTGGTTTGTTTTTTTTCTGATCCTAAGATCAATGAGCAGAGGAAACTTGATCTGGGGCTGAATGATGGAAAATCTCCCAGGGCAGGCTGTCCACATTCACTCGGGGAAGCTTTGGACTCTCTGCTGAATGGTACAGAAGGAAATATGGGGAGTCAACACCTGGAAAACCAGTTTAGAAATACAAGATATCCCCAAGGCCCTGATCCCAAAACCTCAGATGACATCCTTGCTGCGATCTTCTGTAAGGCCCCTCAGGTATCCCCCAAGAGCTGAGGAGCAACCAGAGCCTGACAGTAACCCCATGGTGTTGCCTGGAACAAAACCAACATCCATGCAAAGCTCAGCCCTTCGGGCACAGTTTTAATTACAAGAGCTAATTAGGTATCACCCAAGGGAAGAAGAGAGGGGAGATGCTTAAAAGCATCTTAATTAGGGGCAGAAGGGAAAAGAGAGAACTGTTATTATTCTGAGGTTATTGAATACAGTGATAAAGATGAGCTGAAGTAGGCTGAAGGAGGATATTTTATAAATTCTCACACATAACAGGAAAGAACAGAATAATAAAACTTGACTGAAGAGGAAAATCCAGGAAAACAAGGAAATTCCAAAGCCAGTTCTACGTGGGATAGGGGAACTTTCCTAAGATGCAACTGCTTGAGCAGTCCTTTTTATGACTGACAGTTCCCATAAAAGTGGACCCCTTGTGCCCTGCATGAGACTCTGCGTGTTTTCTGTAGCTGGAGCTCCTGAAGAAGAGCCATGGCAGGACATGGAATGTGTCAGTGGGTAGTCCTAGCCAAGGAAATAGAGCGCTTGATTAAACTTCAGTGTTTAAAGTTGTCAAATCTTATCTCTAGCTCCAGTACCCTTGGACACAAAGATTATTGACTTGCCTGGTTGTGCTCAGCTGGCTGGAGTGAGGAACAAGTGTATCTACGGTGGATGTCAACTCCATAATTCATGCCTTCTGCCGCAGGCTGGTGAGCGGTCTGTGGTCAGCTGCATCCCACAACTTCAGGATCTCCTCACTGCAGGGTAAGGAAAGCCACAGGTTCTTTGGATGCCATGCCCAGCTCCAGGCATCACAGTAACTGACCACAACTGGTCTTATCTGATCCAGGCATCAGTGAAGTATAAAGCACTCCAGTCCTTCCCATGGGAGTTAGGCTCGAGTTTAACCCTTAATCATTTCCCTTCAGAAGGGATTGGTGGGAAAGCTGAGGCAGGTGGAGCTGGCATAAAACTGTTGGGAGAAGCACATCTGTCACACCTATCTGTCACACCTTCCTCTGATGATCAGCAGGAGCATTATACTGCCTATGACCCTGCTTGAAGTCCCGACCTCAACCTCACACCTCTTCACTGATGAGTAACTGGGTGCTCCTCACTGACTTCCCTAAGGGACGGATTCTTGAAGCAGTGAGGTTGACTTAACCTGCAGTAGAGCAACTCAGTACCCTTCGGTGCTGATCCCTCCTGTCCCCGCAAGCATTGACTTTGATGCTAGACTAAACCCTGGTGGGGGGAATGAGCTGGCAGAGTCAATGAGGAATGGGGTTTCTGATGGTTTTGTGACTTCAGCTGGGTCAGATGAGTCCAGAGCTGAAAGCTGAAGCTGCATGAGCAGCTGAGCATCCAGCTGAGACTGAAATGTGGGAGGCCACCAGGGCTATCGAGCTTTTTGCAGGTGGAATGTACCAGAGGTTAGAAAATCATCTTTCCTCCCAAAGACAGAAACCTGCCTTCAGCATATCCATGCGTTCACTCTATTATGACCCTAATAGCACATTATTTGCAATATGTGTTAACCAACTCAATAAGTCACCCTGATGGCTTTTGTTTTTCTTTTCAGTTTCAATCCATGCCATGAAAACCTCCAAGACTTCATTTCAGCAGCGAGGCCATAACAGTTTAGACAAGCTCTGAAATGGTGAATAAGCCTCTCCCTGGAGATTTGATGGCAAATCCAAGGTATGCTTCTGTGACTTTATTATTGAAACAGAATGATCTCCCTCCAGCTCCCTTGGGGGGGGAGGAGGAGGAGGGAGCACACATGGAGCAATTAAGACAAATGTCTTTGACCTTCAGCAACTTAATCAGCTGCCAGTGCTCTTCCTAATAGTGTGCTAATGGTTAAGTTCTTCTGGATGCCATAAAAAGTGCTATAACTGGAGGCTACAATAAAGTGCTGATCAACCCATCAAGTGAGTCAATCCAAAAGTAATATCTGTCTTTGTAATGACTGTAATAAAACCTATGCCAAAGCCAGGAGATGACGTGAATGAGAATGCTGCTTAATTATGCTGGGCTGCAATGCTGGGTGAATTTGCCACACTTGGGCAGAGTTGCTTTTGGGTGACATTCCCACCTCTGTGTAGGGAAGCCAAACGTTATGTGTGTGGCCAGCACTCCAAGAGGTCCTAAGAGGTTTGGGCAGGTGACATCTCCATCCAAGCTGACTAGGGTTTCTGTGCTGTTGAATTTGGGCTGGAGCTGCTCATCCTGGGAGTCACTGCACTGACAAAAATCAGAATGGAGACATTAGGCTGAGAAGGTTGGGGCTGTTCAGCCTGGAGAAGAGAAGCTGTGTGGAGACCTCAGAGCAGCTTCCAGTGTCTGAAGGGGGCCTATAGGGATGCTGGAGAGGGACTCTTCATTAGGGACTGTAGTGACAGGACAAGGGGTAACGGGTTAAAACTGAAACAGGGGAAGTTTAGGTTGGATATAAGGAGGAAATTCTTTCCTGTTAGGGTGCTGAGGCACTGGAATGGGTTGCTCAGGGAGGTTGTGAATGCTCCATCCCTGGCAGTGTTCAAGACCAGGTTGGACGAAGCCTTGGGTGAGATGGTTTAGTGTGAGGTGTCCTTGCCCATGGCAGGGGGTTGGAACTGGATGATCTTATGGTCTTTTCCAACCCTAACTATTCTATGATTCTATGATTCTATGATTCTATGATTCTATGGCTGTGATTCCCTTTTGAGATGCTGGGGCTGGGAAGAAGAGAAAAGGTGTTTATAAATTACATATTACATATGTATCATATATGTAACTTATGTACATACATATGTTTATGTATGTATTACATGTTACAATGTTACATATCCTGGTGTTAAAGTAACCTTATATTTAATGCCATGGTATTGAAACAGGGTGAAAGGTTACTGAAGCATCCAACGCAGCACCATGGGATGAGGTAGCCGAGCGCTGTGCTATAAAGAGATAGATATAATGAAGC